ATAAAATATGCACGATGGCATTAAACATTAAAAACTGCAGTGGAAATTTGTAAAACAAACCAGTACTTAACAAATGTGAAATTATTAATATACCTTGGGGCGTAACCCTGTGCCTACAGGATAACAAAGTGAACTCCAGGTGCCTTCTTTCAGGAAAGGTGTTTTACAACTGGAATACTACAGGTGGAAAAAAAGTCCTTTCTTGTGCCGCCATCTGCCTTATCTCTGGTGTTTGGGGTACTCTGTGGAGTGCCTCAGTTTATTAATTTTTAACACACCCATCCTCTGGTTTTATACAGTTGAGCTACTGAAAGGGTGGATTTCACCTTCCTCATGTTAGTTTCCAGTATATTTAGGGGGGGGGGATATATATTTATTAATCTTGTTTTACTCACCTGCCCTCCTCCCAATACTAGTTAGCCTGGGGGATTATAAGTTGCTTTGGGTTGCTTTGGGCAAGATAAAGTGACTAAATCAGTCAACCAATAAGTCATTAGATTTACCATTCAGCATTCTAAATTTGTTATGTAAAATGGTTGTAAGGTCCTCTCTTTTTCTCTGCTTGGAGCAGTCAAAGGTTAGTCAAAGAGTGCTTAAAAGTTTACTGATCTGCTGAAAGAGGTGTATTTTGATTCTGGGGAACTAGAACATTTCACTTGGGTTGTGTTTGTCCATGAGTTTAAGCAGTTTTGACAATGCCGTTCTTATTTATTACCCTTGTGACCTATTGCCCTTCAGGCTTTGGCTAGCATGAGCTTGAATACCCAGCCTATTCTTAACCTAGAGAAGTTTCATGAAAGCCAGGAGATCCCACTGCTTACGGGGAAACCTCAGAATGACATGCAGTCCACACCTTCTACAGAGTTCAACCCCCTGATCTATGGCAATGATGTAGACTCCGTGGATGTGGCCACTCGGTGAGTCTGAGCAATGTATTTTTGTTAAATTTCCAAATACACTGGAAGGTCTGCTGCTCTGTCCTGCAGAAAATGTTAGCTGAAATGCTGTGGCTTTCCGGTAAAAAAGCAAATGCTTTTTCATTGTCTTTTTCATGAACATTTATTGTTATAAACTAGAACACACTCTATGTGAGCTACCATCAGTTTTTAACAATATTTTCTACTGCTTAGGCTGCATAAGACTAGAGGATGAGATTCTCTTGTGTATATACGGATTCCACACAGTCCATTACAGGGGTCAGCCAGTGTGATGCCCTCCAGATATATTTTGGACAACAACTAACATTGGCCCAAGCCCAGCACGATCAGTGGGTCATGGATTATGAAAGTTGTGGTTTACGCCATTTGGAGAGCATCCTGTTGGCTATTCCTAGTCTTTTTTTTTTAGTATACATATTCTGTTAAATCTGACTATGTTTTCTAATTGAAATTTTAAAATAGAAAAAAAATGTAGAGGTAACCATTGAGTAGGTTCATACAGAGTTCTATAGCTCATTGTCCTCTTTATGCTGATGACAAGCAGCTCCATTTCTCCTTTTCATCTTCTGCAGGCGAGACAGTGAATGTACTGAGTCACTGTTAGGTTGTAGTACTGTATGATCGAATCTTCTGTGGGGGTTACGTTCCAGAAATGACATGTACATGGAAAAATGCATATACACTTGGAACCACACCTGTGTGGTTGTCTTTCTTTTCAAGTAAGGCAGAGAGCTTTTAAGCTCTCAGACTTGCTTACTGGGCTCTGAGATAATAATAATAATAATAATAATAATAAATTTTTATTTATATCCCGCCCTCCCCAGCCAAAGCCAGGCTCAGGGCGGCTAACAACAAACAAATAATCAAACAATCAAATAATCAACATTCTAAAACATTTCATTATAAAATTAATTAAAATCAAATTAATGGCAACCGTTAAGCAAAGTTCTGTGCAGGTTGCCGGAGGTGGGAGTCAGGCTGGGCCCTGACCAAAGGCCTGGTGGAACAACTCTGTCTTGCAGGCCCTGCGGAAAGATGTCAGGTCCCGCAGGGCCCTAGTCTCTTGTGACAGAGCGTTCCACCAGATTGGAGCCGCAGCCGAGAAAGCCCTGGCTCTAGTTGAGGCCAGCCTAACCTCTCTGAGGCCTGGGACCTTCAGGATGTTTTTATTTGCAGACCGTAGGTTCCTCTGTGGGGCATACCAGGAGAGGCGGTCCCGTAGGTACGAGGGTCCTAGGCCGTATAGGGCTTTAAAGGTTAAAACCAGCACCTTAAACCTGATCCTGTACTCCACCGGGAGCCAGTGCAGCTGGTATAGTACCGGATGAATGTGATCTCGCAGCGAAGACCCCATAAGGAGTCTCGCCGCGGCATTCTGCACCCGCTGGAGTTTCTGGGTCAGTCTCAAGGGCAGCCCCACGTAGAGCGAGTTACAATAATCCAGTCTGGAGGTGACCGTCGCGTGGATCACAGTGGCTAGGTCAGGGCGAGAGAGATAAGGGGCCAACTGCTTAGCTTGGCGGAGATGAAAAATGCCGCCTTTGTTATAGCTGTAATCTGCGCCTCCATAGAGAGGGAGGTATCGAAGATTACACCCAAACTCTTAACGGACGGTGCTGGCACTAATTGCACCCCCGCAAGAGATGGGAGTTGCCCCCCCAATCCCATATCGTCCCGTCCCAGCCAGAGGACCTCTGTCTTCGAAGGATTTAACTTCAACCGGCTTCCGCGTAACCATCCAGCCACAGCTTCCAAACATCTGGTCAGTGTGTCTGGGGCCGAGTCAGGATGGCCATCCATCAACAGATAGAGTTGGGTGTCATCGGCATACTGATGGCAACCCAGCCCAAAACTCCGGACAAGCTGGGCGAGGGGCGCATAAAGATGTTAAAAGCATCGGGAGAGTATCGCACCCTGAGGCACTCCACACACCAAGGAGTGGCGGGATGACAATGCCCCCAAGCGCCACCCTCTGTCCCCGACCGGAGAGAAACGAGCGCAGCCATTGAAGGACTGTGCCCTGGATCCCCACGTCGGCAAGGCGGTGGTCCAGGAGTTCGTGATCAACCATGTCGAAGGCTGCTGACAGGTCTAGAAGAATCAGCAGCCCCGACCCGCCTCGATCCAGCTGCCTGCGGAGATCATCTGTTAGGGCGACCAGAGCCGTCTCGGTCCCATGACCAGCGCGGAAGCCAGACTGGAATGGATCCAGAGCCGATGTTTCATCCAGAAACCTACCAAGCTGTTCAGCAACCGCTCTCTCAATCACCTTACCCAGGAATGGAAGATTCGAAACCGGGCGGTAATTGGATAGATCTAAGGGATCTAATGATGTTTTCTTTAAGAGCGGGCGCACCACTGCCTCCTTCAATTCCCCTGGAAATATCCCGGTGCCAAGGGACAAATTGATGATATCTCCCAGGGGGGCCCGCACCTCGTCTGGACACGCTCTAATCAGCCAAGACGGGCACGGGTCAAGAGGACAGGTGGTGGGCTTTCCAGCTCGGAGGAGTCTGTCCACATCGGCTGGGGATATCCGATCAAAGTGGTCCAATACTGGACCCGAGGACAGTCGAGGGGCCTCCAGTTCCTTTATTGTATCCAAATTGGCAGGGAGGTCATGGCGGAGCAACAGGACCTTCTCCGCAAAAAAGCTCGCAAATGCCTCACAGCTGTGTGTCAGATTGTTATTTAAATTTGGCTGTCCTTCAAGGGACGTTAAAGACCTAATTATACTAAATAATTGCGCCGGGCGAGAGCTAGCGGATGCAATGGAGGCCGAGAAGTAAGACTTCTTAGCGGCCTTCACCGCCATCTCATAGGTTTTCATAAAAACCCTATAAGATGTTCTTGAGGCTCCGTCACGGGCACCCCGCCATACTCGCTCTAGCCGTCTGAGGTCCCGCTTCATTTTCCGAAGCTCCTCGGTAAACCAGGGAGCCCGGTTTCTGCGGAGTCGCAGAGGGCGCTTAGGTGCGATCTCATCTATGGCTGCCAGGAGCTGGGTATTCCAGCCCTCAACAAGCTCAGTCAATGAGTCGCCAGGGGGAGCAAGGTCCCGCAAGGCTTGACGGAATCTATCAGGGTCCATCAGCCTCTGCGGGCGAGCCCAAATCGGCTCGCCACCTAAGCAGGGTGGGGGTGGAAAGTCAATCCTGGCTTTCAGAGCGTAGTGATCAGACCATGGCACCTTAATTGAAGGAGACATGATCACATCTATACCTACGCCAAAGATCAAATCCAGCGTGTGGCCTGCTTGATGTGTGGGGCCTGAAACAAACTGGGAGAGCCCTAGTGTTGCCATGGAAGACACCAGGTCCAGAGCCTGTGAGGAGGGAGTGGCATCAGCATGGATGTTGAAGTCCCCCAATACCAATAGGTTAGGGAACTCCAAGGCCCAGCCGGCCACCGCCTCCAGTAGGCCTGACAGGGTGGCTGCTGGTGCGCTAGGTGGCCGGTACACCAGCCAGACAGCCAAGCTCACCTCAGAGCCCCACACTAGGCCAACACATTCAATGCCGGGGATCGATGGCGATGGTAGAGCCCTGAAAGGACAATCTTCCCGGATTAATAATGCCACCCCGCCCCCGGCCCACAGTCCGTGACTGGTGGAGGACGGAGAAACCCGGGGCGCCATCTCTCGTAAGGTAACTGTTGCCCCTTCGCGTACCCAGGTCTCCGTCACACAAGCCAGGTCAACCCCTGCGAGGTAAAGAAATCTCGCAGAGTGGCGGTTTTGTTGCCTATAGACCTGGCATTGCACAACACCAGTGACGGAGGTGAGTAATCCTTGCTCACCCTACCCTCGTCCCTCGGGATGGGGCGCAGATTGGAAGGGGTACGAGCATATCCGTATCTCGATCCCCTTCGCCTATAACATCTGCCCCCACCACCATACCTCCCTCGCCCCCCACGGTAGCAATCCCAAGCCTCATACAAGCCTCCATTTACAAAATAGAAAACCAAGCCAAACTGAAAACAATTCTACCTAAGCAAAACCAATCCCCACCCCAAACCACAATAAAACAGAACAAAATAAAAATACATAGATAAAAACCACTGTTCACGGTGGTACAATAACGTAAGAAGTAAAAACACCTTTAAAATACTTTAAAATATATAAAAACATTTTTAACAATTGCTGCGGCAGCACCAGTGTCCTTAAAACTGTAGCGGAGGTGAGTCTGGGCCCCGCCCCCTAGGCCAGGTGGAATCAGCCTGAAGAGGGAGCGGCCTTCCCCAACACTCACGGTGCAGCAGCAGCGATGTCCCAATGCCTCAGTGAGGCTTCTTAAAGCTGTGGCGAAGGTGAGTCTGGGCCCCGCCCCCCTAGGCCTGGTGGAATCAGCCTGAAGAGGGAGCGGCCTTCCCCAACACTCACGGTGCAGCAGCAGCGATGTCCCAATGCCTCAGTGAGGCCTCTTAAAGCTGTGGCGAAGGTGAGTCTGGGCCCCGCCCCTAGGCCTGGTGGAATCAGCCTGAAGAGGGAGCGGCCTTCCCCAACACTCACGGTGCAGCAGCAGCGATGTCCCAAAGCCTCAGTGAGGCTTCTTAAAGCTGTGGCGAAGGTGAGTCTGGGCCCCGCCCCCTAGGCCTGGTGGAATCAGCCTGAAGAGGGAGCGGCCTTCCCCAACACTCACGGTGCAGCAGCAGCGATGTCCCAATGCCTCAGTGAGGCTTCTTAAAGCTGTGGCGAAGGTGAGTCTGGGCCCCGCCCCTAGGCCAGGTGGAATCAGCCTGAAGAGGGAGCGGCCTTCCCCAACACTCACGGTGCAGCAGCAGCGA